AAAGTGGCAGTATTATATAAGTGATAAAACCATTTATTTGACCAACTACCGTCCTTCAATAGCTTTCACATTTGATGTGCATCAGATGTATGATGAAAACAGGAAAGCTAATTATTGTTTCCGCTCCGGCATAGTAAAATAAAATAATTCTACCAAATACTCTACGGAAACAGATCATACCAATGTGACATCAGCACTAGTAGTGTTCTGCTGCGGTTGGAATACTCAGAGCATAATAAAGTCACCCTAATTTTCACTTCCGTTTCAAACCCACCAGCCGTGTATTCATTTCTTTTTTCTCAGTGGATTTATTCAGGCAATCAAAACTCTTGACACAAAATGCACTCATAAACCCCGATTCATCTGTCACCTGTGTCGACAATGTAATCAGGTCAGGCAACAGATACTTGTTACTCCAAAAGTATCCATTTGTTCCAAGTCGTACTTTGCTGTCGCAACTTGAATGACCGAGATGTAACTTTGTCAGCCAATCCAGATTGCTTTTGAAAGTGAAAAAACACGTGGAAGACAAATGTAGAAAAAGGAACGTGCCCGCAACTAACTTTGGCTGTCCAAGTGCCGCCGCGCAATTTCAATGCTACATGCATTTATCGATTCGATTCTCTAACATGGGATGGATAGACGCACAGAAGGGCGTGGACAGGCAGCATTCACTTGTGCAGCACATTTCAACCACTTATTGCGTAGAATCATTTAGGTATTGGAATTCAAGAATCAAGACCTATCTGACAAGTCGAGACTTACTTTGCTAAGATGATCGGTACTTTGATTCTGACTGAAATGAAAATCAAATAATCAAAATGGATATTGGAGAAAACAGAAAAATTAATAATTTCAGAGAAAATGACACAGGTACCTTTATCGGGGAAAGTAATGTTTGCGAAATTCTACTCAGTTTGTGCAACCGATGTTCTCATAGCAAGAGGTTTTTGATTTTCCCGAAAGCAAACAACGCTTCTTATCCAGTTATCCAATTGGTGTGGAAAACAATCTATATTCAGCACTCATTAGATTTAATGGTTCTCACTTGAACTTATACAATTTCAATTCCAAAGTGTTTCCCAAAGTTTTGTTCCATCCAGGGCTTTGAGCACACCTCTGATTCCGTTCCAGGAAGAGTACCAAAATTCATTCCCACATGAATGTAACAATCAAACTTGGGATGTATTTGAACCTTGTTATAGTGGTAAAAGTTACTATGTGGAGGAACGTTGTATCATTATCATTGTATTACGCGATGCAGTGAAGTGAACTTCGCTGGTCGCTACAGAGCTCACAATGGACGCAAGGTAAGTGAGAAAATACACGTGGGATAGGGATTGGGCCTAAAAGGAGGGAAATAAAGAAGGTAAACCTCTATGATCAACATACAGAGTACACAATCCAACTGTGCACACATACCGTTTAAAGAGTTTTGACCTGGTAGGAAATGAAAGCCAAAACGCCAATACTGTCGGTTCGCTGCCATAGACTTCATTCTCTCTCTCTCTAATCATTACCAAATACGCGACGTATTACCTCAGAGTTGCTTGCACGTTCGCCCCATCAAACCCACGCCAAACTACGCAAACACTGGCAATCCAAGACTTAAAGATGGTGAATATCTTCCACGCGAAAATGTAGAGTCTCGCAGCCGTGAAGTAGAAATGATCGCACATTGGCGCAGTATGCCAGACCTTTCAGTTTCACCTTGGCGTCAAAGATGTCTCACTCCTGCGTAAGCTGCTCGAGCCTTGGAAATGCAGGTGGTTACTTCCCTGTCTATGCTATCATCATTTGTCACGCAGCTACCTAAATGGTTGAAACAATTCATTGTAACTAATTCTTCGACATCAATCACCAGAGCCAGAGGAACGTTTTATACTGAAAAGTAAACCGACCGCAGCGGCTGTGCTTGAGACAAAAGCTGTCGCAGCAAGGGGAGGGGAGATTAATCTGTAAATATATAAGGTGCCTAGCTAGAAACAGATTTGGAATTCGAGAAGTAGAGATTTGAAGTTACCTATATATTTAAAAATCAGGTTGGATTTTATTGGAGTGTATATTGTGGCTCGATCACGCTAAATAATATTTGATGAAGTTTGACGAAATGCCCAGAGGAAGTGATATGTACGATCGGGATTTGAAGTGAAAAATTGGTAGTGGTAGCGTAGAGCGTAGCAGCAAACGTAGCGGTGTGCCGAAATCCTAATGGCGTAAAAGTTCAACGAACGGAGGAAAATCAGGAAGTGGGAATGTGACCTTCGTGTCGCAATCCACCAGATGTTTTCCATATATAACAGAAAAATTAACTAGTTTCATTGGGTATTTCTATGCAGAAGAACCAGATTAAAGGCACAGAGAAGTGGATGGACAACAGACATGTACCTCCTGAATTCGTGGGACTGTGAGATGGAAGGACTAAACGTTAGTCTGATTTCACTTCGGGATCGCGGGAAGATTAAAGAATACGGCAAGAAGTAAACGCTCGTTTGAAGGAGTTTGTTGAACCAGAAGTGATGAGGAAGTAAGTTATGGCGCACAGTTCATCAGCATAATGAGTGAGATAGCATCTGAAATGAAGACTGATATGTCTAATGGGAATTGAGTTTTCAGTCGTTTTTAGACAATAAAGAAGGGCTTGAAAAGAGGGTATTATGAGAGGTAGGAACCAGGTGAGAAAATAAAATTGGAACTGAAAAAGAAGCAATTACTTCATGTTTGACAAGTGCACTGAAAAAGGATAGGATTTTTCGGTGGTTGGAAGGAAGAAATAATGGTAATGGCTGCAGCGATCGAAAACAATCTATTTGAGTTAATAATACAGTCATGCTACTAGCTCTTCAGTCTGAAAGACAGAATTTGTCCCATTCAAAAATTAATCGTTGGAGTTGGTGGTCAAAAGGTTTAGGGTTTCTAAGGTTGATTGACATTTTTCAAACAAAACACACTCGAGAAGGTCATGCGAATTGGTTTTTTGATTGAACCATAGGCTGTTTAGTATTAACAATAACATGAACCAGTGTTAGTAAGCGGTTTGAAGGTATGATAGTGATAGATGGGCGTCACACACACACTATCAGTAGTCGCATTACTTTGCATTGTAGTCGTTAGGTGAGAAAACCGCACAGGCAAAGCCTGAGCTTTTCTGGGGCTATTAGTAAACCGCCATCAAGTAATACTCCAGTATTTTGCCCCAATAAATTGGGACTGCCGGATATGTTCGTTCTCTTACGGCGCGCATGAATGTAATTATGACTTGATATGAGAACTTTATATGGGCTACACTAGGCTTCCCATTTGGGAACATGGTGCTTAATCTTATCAGTGATCACATATGCTGGGTATTAGATGTGGGCCCTCGTGAAATTACCCACACTCTAATGATTTGCCTGCACTCTAAATCCTTATCTTGAAGTAGCTTTATGCAATTTATTCTGTTTTTACTTCTATAGTCACTCAAATGGGTGAACGAAAGACAGTAAGCAAATTCCACACAAGGGTGATGGTTGTTGATACAAATGCAACCGAATTAAGCCTTCATCTTGCAGTATGATATTCTATGGCCCAAAGTAATTCTGACAATCTGGAATTCAAGCCCTGCTAAAAACCCACCTTAAAGAAGAGTAACCAGAACTCATCGGCTTGGCGAGCAACCAAGCGAACTTCACGGTAAACCGAAACAAATCACCGGCAAACCAATAGCTGATAAAAACCTGCTGCTCTCCATGGTAATGCGAAATGGGAAATTAGAAGCACTGGATGGATGGATGATGAGAATCGACTGGTGCATGCACCCAATTCAATTAATCTCACTTTGATGAAACCCAACCTGTCCAGGGCTTCCTCGCTTTTCAGTTCACGCCTCATTAGCCATATACACGACTAATTTCACCTTTGAATTATTCTCACTCCCACAAATTCTACATTCAGAGAGCAGTGAGGTCACGCATTTGTTAGTCTCACCGTATCTGATCCGTATGAACCATTTTCCGAACACACAGTTGCAATCGACTCTTTGATGGCTGAACTGGCCAAGCGGCTTATCATCATTATCATCACCATAATTTCATTGGTCGTTCCAACCAGATCACATTGATGGACAATTTTCGTGTGAAATCCGAATTGTACAAATCCACGTGTGGATGACAACTGTTGAATAAAAGCCGACTTTTTGTACAAAATTTGTAAGAACCAAATGTGAGTATGATCGCGTCTAAACATGATTTTCCTTTCCGCGTTTTTCGGTAGTAAGTAGTTGAAGGAGAACAACCTGCAGACGGAATGGAAAAGGAGGGAAATGTGAAATAGGCAGACCATAGTTTAAATGGTTTCCACTGTGTGTGCGGATAAGACAGGATCAGTTTGAGTGCTATGAAACAAATGTTGTTTGTTCATTGAGAAAAAGGGAACTGGAGGAANTGCAGACTCATTCGGACTGGTTGGAAGCAATCCCACTGAGAAGAAACGCAGAACGATGGGATTCAAGAATGCCGAAGCATGGCACTACATACAAAGAGGGTGAAGGTCAGGTGGTTTTGGGTTGGTTTCACAGCCAAGTGGAAATAAAATGTGAACAGGGATCACAAACGCAATGAGCTACTATAAAACAAAGGAGATCACATGGGCAAAAATCGATCCAGTTTATGGCGCTGAGCTGAGCGAAAAGATCCGGATGTTTCAAGGCACAGAATGACTAAATAACCCGGATAATGGGGCATCCGATCGACAGAATAATAACGGACAGTCGAACGGGAGTCACAAAGTTCCTCCAGAAATAAATAAAATACAACTTCAAATAATGAGGAAGACTGTGGATCCAGTAAGACTGAACACACGTGGATATCGAAGGAGATAAGGACGGAGGAGCGTGGGAAGCAGGGAGGTTAGTATTTCAAATATGATGAAAAACGCCAGGAGCAAATCTGCTGCAAAAAGGTAATATGAATAGGACCTACTGAGGTGATTTGATAAAAATCACGCAAACAATCTTCCAGTGATCAGGAACGAGAGAAGGCGGAAGGGGTATATGGTTTTCGTGCGAATTTCCATTTTTGTCGCATTGATCCATCACAAGGTTTGAGTAATACCGGTTTGTCTCGATCGTCATACTCCACACAACTATCGGCATTCCGTATAGTGTTGTCCTATGAGAAGTAGACAGAAACAGATTGAGCCAAATGGTAAAACGGAAACTACCCTCAAAATGGTACGCAAGGATATACTTGAGTGCTTAGTCAAAACCATAGAGATTTCGTCTGTGTTACTATTGAACAATTCAAACGGACCCTGACAGTTGGGCAACGTTTCACGCGCTTAAAATACTTGTAAAGTATATCCACAAAATAAAATTTATGATTGTAGTCTATATAGTTTTTAACATGATGAGTGTTTTAAAATAAGGTAAAACCAATAAACAAAAAAAACCGGTGGTGAAATATTAGTTTTATAAACGACAACGTAAAGATCAAACAATCGACATTGACCTAAATTAGACGAATGGTACTGAATGATTTCATACAGTTGAAACTTGATGGAATTGATGGTGGGAAAAACAATGGAAAACAACCGTGTGCATTGAACGGAATTGTGGAACTCATAACTTCCTTGTCGTTCGGATCAAAACATTAGCAACGCCATCAATCGGAACACGATGAGGAAAAACAGCTTTCAGAGTGATAACCAAAATTCAGTTATATGGAATACTTGTAACGAACGGTGTACGAATATCGGTAATGAAATTGCCACACGAAAATGAACTACGAGATAAATGAATACTTCAACTGGTTCAATCACACAACAAGGTAGGTTCCCTTTACTCTGTCACTTAGCTGTTCAATCTTAATTCCCAATGTACCTGCGCCAGGGGGTGAAGAGTAACCAAAAAAGCTGAATTTACCTTATTCCGCTTAAAATGGTTTTACCTTGTCGAGCATAAATTCGTGAGAAAAACGTGATGTATGAGAGGTGAATCTGTGCACAACTTGCATACCCGAAAAAGATTCACGGTGCAAATGAACAAACAACGCATCATAAACCGTGAAAGATAGACTTACTTCACCATAGGTAAAGTGCTGATTCCCTCCTTGCCCATGACAGTCAAACAAACCGAGACTTTTCGGTCGTACACCAGAATCGAAGCAACGATCCTCACGACGGATTTCACCAGCTTGGGACATCAGCCAAAACTGTCGGTGAGAATGGAAAACACATTTCGAGTGCTACAAGCGACTGTAAATACGCCTTGTTCATGTGTGCATTAGAAAATGTGATTTGTCATCTGTTACAATATCATACGCCTCCTGACTGATTCGAAAATGCAAATCACAAGCCTGATAACATTTGTCAATCTGAAAAGATACGATGTTGCAGACTTCTAAAAATACAGTTCAAATAAAGGGCTTTGGTGCAAGCCACTATATCTAAATTGAGAAAGTGTGTGCTTGGAAAGATTGTTAACTCATACACAATGATACATTAATAAGCTGAATATCTTTCAAGGATAGACGGGACACAAGATATTCAAGGATGCATACAAATGAGCAAACATAAAGGACCCTGCCACAGATAACCACAAAGAAATTACGTTTATCTTCTCCACGATAATATTATGAACAGATGCATACACTCCAGCGATGTACATGTTAAGTGCATTATCAAGGTCTCATTCTCGCTTGATTTGGGATATGCCAGCAAATCATACTTAGCGGCATTTTCTAGTCAGTGTATAAAAATGCCATTTTGTTTTAAACTTGGTTATCTCAAAATACTTGCTTGCATGGACCAATTGTGCCCCTTAGATTGTGAGTGAAAGTCCGTTTGCGCACCCCCTTTTCAGGAAAGTAAACTCCATCTAACTCACATTGTTCAGGTGTTTTCTCATGGAATACACAAGAACATGATGTTCCACTTGTGCATCGTATTTTATTTGATTGATGCTGTTGACAGAATCATTATATCTTGTCCGAAAAATACAATGAAATTGATTCAAAATAAAAGCTGATCAGGTAACTCAAGATATACCGCACAGTTAAATTTCTGGGATATCAGCGAGACTTCCTTTTTTTGTGCGTTGAATTAAACAAATCATTTATCCCGTAAGTGAAGAAGTAATTAAGCATACAACGACTAAGAGAGATAGGATAACCCATGGGGTGTATGAAACAGTAGAAAAGCTAAGCACCGGTGGGGTATGTATGGGCATCGTAATAGGTTGACTACCAGGAACAGTTCAAACCCACTTCGATTACACGTACCAGGTCATGAACGTTCGAAATAAAAAGGACAGCATCACACAAAAACCTTTTCATCGGTTTCAGCTGCAAATTTTATTGTTCCATGATAACTTGAGTTATTTGATTTTTGTTAGCGAAACCGTAAATAAGTAACGCAACACAACTACATAAAAGAAATAACTGTAGCAACGCAGATGTTTATCCCGCTGGTGGAAATCCTGAAATTAAAGGAAAACATTCAATCTTTTGTATTATCACGTTCAACGAAGTTATATGGATTCTTGGCCAATAGGGCATTTGGTTTTAGTCAGTATACCGATCAAATGAGTGAGGTTGGGAAAACAGACGTCCGATCAAGATGAAGAATGTGGTGTCACCTACTGTCCGGAACATCTTTTAAGTTTCCAACGGAAAGATCAGAACACGTCTGTTGATCAAAAGCGACATGTATCCACGCTAGATGAAAGTTTAATCATCCTCAACCATGTGTCAATCGCGGCATGTACCGAGAAAATTTACTCGGTGACATGCGCAACACGTACTTCAGTCACCAAAATATGTGGGTAGGGGAGAGATTGCGAGTGCTTAGTACTTTTTGCCTGAGTTCCATAATAGGCATCACATTGTTTTACCAGGTTGGTGAAGTAATCCAAAACCAGCGTCACTCAGAAACCGACAACCTGCACTGATTTACACGCAATGCTCGTGCACTAGTTGAGCGAAGGAGCACCGACCAAAATACTGTGACACACATTAGGCCATCCGTTGAGAATGAAATGATAGGAGACTGTTGAAGACATCTAATTGGTAAACGTCAGTCTGGTAGTCCCCGGGTTTTACACGAACTGTATACGAGAATCGGCGGTCAAGAGAGGTCGGATCGTTTAAGTAGCAAACTTTGTCCCGATTCTCTTACATACCTTCGATGAGATTGAAAACAAAGCCAATCCAACCTAGCAACAACAGCTGGCATTTCAAATGAGCAAATCTATTTTGATCAGCCCAACAATACACATTGATGCTCATTTGAGCCGGTCACCTCTGCGAAAACTAGGAATGTGTGTGTGTTAAGTTTTGTTTACGTTCTTGTTTGGTTTCGAATCAGTGTTTTTAGCCAACTTCTTTAGGTGAACTACCAGTGGTTCATCGACCCGGTTACATCCCGTACGTTGACTTTCCATCTTGTGAATTTTATGGGTAAACATCTTCGCCATCGGAAGGCAGTGAGCAGGACTTGCTCAGCAGTGGCTATTTGAGACACTTGATTGAAAAGGTGCCAATCGTGAGGTGAAAGGGAAGTGTGACCAGATGCAACCTGAGACAACCATCCATGTCGTCCATATACTTCAAATCGAACGTAGGTTTTAACTATATTTGCAACTGCCAACTCTGAAATTATGTTTATAACACATTTAGACAAACGAGGACATGGATAGCTTTCCGTTAGCCATCAAAGCATGATAACCAGTAGGACGTCACAAATGAAAAACTAAAACCGCTAAACGAAATACCATTTCAGTGATCCATAGGGACCATGCGAAGAGGTTAAACGCATGGATTCAATTGGAAAACCAGTTAGAGCTAATTTGATTCCAAATCAGACGGAATGATACGAAGTGAGCGGCGGTGGCCCGGTGGTAATGTCACCAAATTATTACCCCGGGGATGTGTGTTCGAATCCCACAACCACCGCCTGACTTTCCCCATTGTGTGGTGAATGAGAGACCTTTGATTGGCCGCTGCTCCCTTCCTGAAAATTGCGTCATTACATATTCAATAAAAGGAAGTAAAATTAAAATGAAAGAAATGAAAAGTTATAAAATGTTCCGTGATCAGACAAAAAAACAATATTACATCAGCAACAATATGATCAAACTGGATAGGGCGAGGAACCGATATCACATCACACAGGGATGTAAATCATTGTACGAACGCGACATGTACCTGATTTCCTCGTTTTCGATGGCAGCCGAGTGTTCGAACCACATTGCTTTGGTCTTTGGCATCTGTTGGAGCATCCAAACACACTTCAGCCACGAAACTTTCAATCTGAAAAGAGGAAGAAACAACCAACACAAGTTTGAGAAGAAACAAATTGACTGCCACCCGGTTTTCACACCCTACTCGTGAAACGAGTGCTTCGTTACATTCAAACACATGATTTGACACAAAGAGAGAGGGATCAAAGTGTTTGGTGAACAATGGTTGATCGCGCTACTTAAAATTGATCCACATGTGAACTAATTCAGGGACACGATCGACTTGACACAGAACACGGGGGCAGATGAAAGAGGAAATGAAGGGCGAAGATACTTCAAATAAACCTAGTAGCACTCCAAATGACGCAAAAGCCAGCATCGGAGATGGATAAACCAGGACAAAGAGGATGGGTTGAAACTTACATCACCCGATGCCAAAGCTCTGGATGGAAGAAACAGTTCCGGATAAACAGTATCCAAATACCACTGGAAGTTTTGACAACGAAGACGTTCGCGGATAGCTTTTCGTTCGGAAAGATCACCATAGTTACCCTGATTAGTCGATAAAATAAATAAAACAGAGAGTGAAACATGACCCCGATCAAGTGAATGGCTATTCGTCAAATACGTTTTCAAATCAAAGGCAAGCAAGACTCGAGTGTGGATGTGCGTGATTGCGAGTGTTTGAATATCGAAAATGTGGGAACTATGTTTCGCGTATGTACGGTTGACACTTCTCAATTTCGGAGCCGAAAAAACTGATTTTTCGTTTCGTGTTACTGTACGAAAACCAAAGTGATAAGGAGTTTTGTTTTCATTATTGTACTCCTAAGGTTATCTTCTACATACATACCAGGTCGTGATTGATCAATTCGTAATAGTAGGATTTATATTCGTCCATCCAGACCTCAGCCAAACGAACGGAATTTCGGCGCAAAGGATTCGTGAAATTGGATACCCATTTGTACGGGGAACGTGCGCGAAACAAGTGACCAACATGAGAGCAAACAACGGTTTCCAGAGTCCCGCCGCACATCCAAGTCTGAATTGGTCGAGAGAAAAAAAAGCAGAGAATAACAGTTACGATGGTGAACGAACCGGAGCACACAGATTTAATTGACTGAAAGCTTGTCAAAGCAGGGCACAGGAGCAAAAAGATTCATCTATTAGGAGGAACAAAGCACTTTCGGACTTGACTTGACTTGAAAAGTAAGTCCCTTAGCAGTATTGCGTCCAAACAACGATTCATAGAGAAGTCACGATAACATAAATACACATAAGTTGGAAGCTATGTAAATGATAAATGGATTGTTTCTAAATTGGCATACTATAATCTAATAACAATATCACTATCCTACAATTACTTTAATTTGTACGTGTCTAACAGCTCAGATTGTTTAATTCACTAAAGTTTCCGGAACTATGCACGATTTATGGAAATTTTTCACGCTCTTTCGAACATCAGACAACCCTTTCTGCTTCAACACTGATGAAAAACAGAAAAAAATCAACTGAACTGGATGAACTACCTGTCTCATTTCATGTGAGTGATAGAGGATTTTAGACAATTTCAAAGGAAAAATTCGTCGTGTATATGGCAAATGAAGCGTGAACTAAAAAGCTAAGAAGCTGTTTCGATCTGGCTGGGTCTTACCAACTGAGTCATAACCCCGGGGGCTAGTGCTGAGACGAACGAAGTTTGTGGCCTGCAACAAGATCACAAAGATGGGTTGTGCTATATCGTGTAAACGGAAAATGAAAAACGTTCTGATCAGTTGCCCGGCGGTTGAGTGTGTAGCATGCTTGCTTCCTGCCTGTGTGGTCTCGAGTTCGATCCCCAGTTGAGTCGATGGATTCGCACTGCTGATGAAACCCAACCAGGTCAAAACAGTTGTCCAGTGCTTCCTAGCTTTCCAGTTCACGCTCTATGTGCCATATACCTGTCTCATGGCTATAATCCTCTTTAAGTGGCTCACCATCCTTCATCTTCCTCGTTTGATGATATTAATCGGTGTGCTTACTTTGTACATTCCTATTACGATACTACGTCTGGCATTATTCGCTCAGCCCTTTGAGCATACGCTTATGCCCGTGGGTTGACTGTGTATTCCTTAAACATCAATCTGACAACCACCAACTGCTTGAGGTGTTTGAAGTTTGTGATCAATTGCTTCTCTCACAAGAACGAGTTCACTTGCAAGAGAATAACTAAAGAAATGTGTTGTCATTTGTTTCCGTGCTAATGCTTATATGGCCCTTTGTCCCTTAGATTTGTTTTACTCAACATCAGTTAACAGTCCAATAACTTCAAAAAGGACCCATAAAGAGCACTAGATTGCTACAATGCTTGTTCGGGATTATTGACGATGCATACAATTTTGCGTCCCTGCCGAGGTTGTAAGCAGAAGTCTACATATGTAAGCTACACTGAAAAAACCTGTTCTCTAGAATTTGACTCGGATTAAAAGGGTTAAAATTGAACTCCTTCATTTTTTCTTTGTACACGAACAATTTGTCTGCCTCTCTTCACTTCACCGCTTGTAGGTAAGGCGACGACAGGTTCCGTCAAATTTGGAAACGTTTAAACTATAGTAAAATGACAAAAAATGATTAGACTGGCTAAGAATGAATGCATTATTTTTGAAACTAAATTTCAACTTAACGAATTGTAAAATTCGAGGATTGCTTCTCAACATTTTATGGCTTCGATGTTTTCTCGCATGTGTTGCTACCGATCGTGAAAGAATTTTTAAAACGAGTTATTCGATAAGAATATTCAGTGATCTGGTTAGAGAGAATTCCACTCTCGATTGGTCCCGAGTGTGTCCACCGTCCGGTCACCCTGATGCCGTAACTTAGTTAAACCAACCAAATGACAAATGATATGTTGCTAAAAGGACTGGATGCAAAGTCTTCCCAATGCGTTTTCCCGAATCGTCCTGATCGGTATGCACACAACCGTTCTAACTTGCATTTGACTGATACCGTGATTGAGACATAGTCATTGGGCCCGAAGTTTTGTATCCCTACCAGGAAACGGGACAAGTTCGATTATGAGATGCATTTCGAAATTCTACATTCTCAGACTCAAGGGCT